TTAATTCGAATTAAAGCTGATAAATCCGAATTAAAGTCGTAGTGTAGACCAGGCCTTAGAGACTAACACATTTATTTGAGCATAAGTTTTCGTGGGCTAAAACCCACTTCATTGGATGCATGCAGTGGAAAATACAGTAGGAAGATATATATACACAGAGAACATGAAAAAATGGGTGTTGCCATACCAACTGTAACAAGAGTAATTAATTAAGATGAGCTATTAGATGAGTTATTAGCAGCAGGAGAAAAAAAACTTTTGCAGTGATAATCAGGATAGCCCATTTCCAACAGTTGACAAGAAGGTGTGAGTAAAAGTAGGGGGGAAAATAGCATGGGGAAACAGTTTTTACTTTGTATAATGACCCATCCACTCCCAGTCTTTATTCAAGCCTAATTTAATGGTGTTTAGTTTGCAAATTAATTCCAATTCTGCAGTTTCTCATTGAAGTCTATTTTTGAAGTTTTTTTGTTGGAGTATTGAACAAAAAAACTTACTTCCTGATTATCACTACAAAAGTTTTTTCTCCTGCTGATAATAGCTCACCTAATAGCTCACCTTAATTAATTACTCTTGTTACAGTTGGTATGGCAACACCCACTTTTTCATGTTCTCTGTGTACACACTCTCTGATGCCTGAGGAATTGAGTGAGTACACAAACCAGTGCTTTACTGTCACCGGTTCCCTATCACTGGTGAAACTTACAGCGCAAAAACTCTGTAAGTGTAGACATACCCTAATGGTAGCCGGGCCCATGCTTCCCTGCTGGACCGCATCACAGTAGCCCTGTCCCTGGTGTCCTGGAAACGGCCCTGCCCTACTTGCAGAGAGTGTTTAATGGACAGAACCAGTCGGGGGGAGGGAGCAGCTACCGAGACCAGGCAGAAGAGCGAACAGGCTCCAGGCAAGCACACTGGTCATAAACTGCTTTAAGGCACATGGCAGGACCTTGTCCTCACTTTAGTGTCAATCTACAGTGGAGTGGAGCAATTCCAGATTCATGCTGAATGACTGCCCCAGCCCAAAACTGGGGCAAATGGCTAAATAGTGTAACATGCACTGATTGGGCATTTACTAGGCCTGAAACACCTCTAATTTATCTCTTTGGAAAGTGGGGATAACATTCCCCCCCACCCCCAATATCACTGGTGACATAAACTGAAAGCCATGGGGAGGAGGGATTAAGCCCAGTTGATAGGGGAAATACATCTCACTTCTTTGCCTGGGCATAGAAGTTATAAAAGCCACTAATAGTGTGTACATTAGCACCTCAGAGTTACAAACACCAGAGTTACAAACTAACCAGTTGGAACTAGAAGTAAGCAATTAAGCAGCAGCAGAGACCAAAAAAAGGCAAGTATAGTACTGTGGTAAATGTAAACTACTAAAAAAATAGGGTCACAGTATGGCTATAGTACTGCTGTCCCCACAGCTGTATCTGCAGTAGAAGTCTGGATCAATGCATAATGTCTTGTGGTATATATGGAGCTCCAGATCACCATCCTACATATGCCTAGAAAAGGTACATCTCGCAGAGATGCTGCAGAGGTTACTGGAGATCTGGTGGAATCGGATCTCACCCCATTGGGGGTGGAGGGAATACGAGCTAGTTGGTAACAAAGGATGATGCAACTTGAGATCCACTTAGAGCAGGGCTTCTCAAACTGGGGGTTGGGACCCCTCAGGGTGTCGGGAGGTTATTACATGGGGGGGTCGTGAGCTGTCAGCCTCCACCCCAAACCCCGCTTTGCCTCCAGAATTTAGAATGCTGTTAAATATATAAAAATGTGTTTTTAATTTATAAGGGGGGTAGCACTCAGAGGCTTGCTATGTGAAAGGGGTCACCAGTACAAAAGTTTGAGAACCACTGACTTAGAGAGTCTCTACACAAATAGAGCTTGACCCCTTGATCGCTTCGCTATGGTAATAAAAAGTTTGTGTTTTTCTAATTGCTTTTGTTCTCTGTAGATAAAACGCCAGTGCCTGTCAGATGTCTAGAGAATGGAGCCCTCTCTCCTCAACAACAGGGCCAGCTCTAGGTTTTTTGCTGCCCCAAGCAAAAAATTTTTTGGCTGCCCCCACCCCAGCCCTGGGCTCTCCCCCTCCCAACTGCACCCTCCTGCTGCCCCGTCACTGGTAACTCGCTCCCAGGGCAGGTCATTCAGCAGGAATTTTGGATGTGCACAGAACACAGACAGGATTGATTCCCATATGGTTACAGAACTGCGGTAAAGTGGAACAATTTTCAGCTTATGTGACTGGAGGATATCTGGATGCACATTATAAGACTGTCCTACATAAATGAGGAAAAGTTGAGGTGCCTTTATTATTCTTTTGTTCCATTCTTTGTTTCTATGGGGAATGCACTATCACGGTCTTTCTTTTAAACAAATAAAACTAAAACTTTTAAAAAAAATTTAAAAAAGCAATGGCTGTTGAAAATAGCAACTCCAGTCCTAATAACCACTGGGAAGCATTTCTTGCTCAATTTATTCTACTTTTTCTACAGCAAGTTACAGTGGATCAGTATATTTGATCTGGGGGAAATGAAGTAACAGCTGCGCAAATTGAGCTTGAGCACTCCTGAATTTTGAGGGTGTTTAAATCTGGAAGGC